TATATTTGACTGTGATATGGGATTGTCTCCCCTAGCTATCTCAGAGTATGTGCCGACCAGATGGCAAGTGTCTTCACTGACATTTTCAACCTCTCCCTGACCCAGTCTGTAATACCTAAATGTTTCAAGCACACCACCATAGTCCCTGTGCCCAAGAACGCCAAGATAACCTGTCTAAATGACTATGTGAACGTGAGAGCTAAAACCAAGCCATGAGGTCGAAGGAGTTGTCCGTAGAGCTCTGAGACAGGATTGTGTCGAGGCACAGATCTGGTGTAGGGTGACCCAAAAATGTCTGCAGCATTGAAGGTCCCCAAGAACACAGTGGCCTCCAGCATTCTTAAATGGAAGAAGTTTGGAACCACCAAGACTCTTCCTAGAGCTGGCCGCCCGGCCAAACTGAGCAATCGGGGGAGAAGGGCCTTGGTCAGGGAGGTGACCAAGAACCCGATGGTCACTCTGACAGAGCTCCAGAGTTCCTCTGTGGAGATGGGAGAACCTTCCAAAAGGACAACCATCTATGCAGCACTCCACCAATCAGGCCTTTATGGTAGAGTGGCCAGACAGAAGCCACTCCTCAGTAAATGGCACATGACAGACTGCTTGGAGTTTGCCAAAAGGCACCTAAAGGACTCTCAGACCATGAGAAACAAGATTCTCTGGTCTGATGAAACCATGATTGAACTCTTTGGCCTGAATGCCAAGCGTCACGTCTGAAGGAAACCTGGCACCATCCCTACGGTGAAGCATGGTGGTGGCAGCATCATGCTGTGGGGGTGTTTTTCAGCGGCAAGGACTGGGAGACTAGTCAGGATCGAGGGAAAGGTGAACGGAGCAAAGTACAGAGAGATCCTTGATGAAAACCTGCTCCAGAGTGCTCAGGACCTCAGACTGGGGTGAAGGTTCACCTTTCAACAGGACAACAACCCTAAACACACAGCCAAGACAACACAGGAGTGGCTTCGGGACAAGTCTCTGAATGTCCTTGAGTGGCCTAGCCAGAGCCCAGACTTGAACCCAATCGAACATCTCTGGAGATACCTGAAAATAGCTGTGCAGCAACGCTCCCCATCCAACCTGACAGAGCTTGAGAGGATCTGCAGAGAAGAATGGTAGAAACTCCCCAAGTACAGGTGTGCCAAGCTTGTAGCGTCATACCCAAGAAGACTCGAGGCTGTAATCACTGCCAAAGGTGCTTCAACATAGTACTGAGTAAAGGGTCTGAATACTTATGTAAATGTGATATTTCCGTTTTTATTTGTTTATTAATTTGCTAAAATGTCTAAAAAACAATTTTTGCTTTGTCATTATGGGGTATTGTGTATAGATTGATGAGGGAATTTTTTATTTTTTTTTTAAGGCTGTAACTTAACAAAATGTGGAAAAAGTCAAGGGGTCTGAATACTTTCTGAATGCACTGTATGTACATATCTACCTCAATTACTTCGTACTCCTGCACATCGACTCGATACTGGTACCCCTTGTATATAGCCAAGTTATCGTTACTCATTGTGTATCTATTACTACTTATAATTATTTCTCTATTTTCTTTCTCTCTGCATTATTGGGAAGGGCCCGTAAGTAAGCATTTCACTGTAAGTCCATACCTGTTGTTTACGAAGCATGTGACAGAAATATATTTGATTTGAGATAAATGCACATACTGTAAGTTGCACTGGATAAGAGCATCTGCTAAATGACTAAAATGTCAAATGTAAATGTTTTACATACAGATCTCATATTACTGTATTGAAAAAAAGATTTAAATTGTTTTTAAACATTGATGTCACAAATGTTTACCCACTTTTTCTCCCCCATTTCGTGATTACGATCTTGTGTCAACGCTGCAACTCCCCAACGGGCTCGGGAGAGGCGAAGGTTGAGTCATGCGTCCTCCGAAACATGACCCGCCAAGCCGCGCTTCTTAACACCCGCTCGCTTAACCCGGAAGCCAGCTGCACCAATGTGTCTGAGGAAACACTGTTCAACTGACAACCGAGGTCAGCCTGCAGGCGCCCGGCCTGCCAGAAGGAGTCGCTAGAGCGCGATGAGCCAAGTAAAGCACCCCCCGGCCAAACCCTCCCCTAACCTGACGACGCTGGGCCAATTGCGCGCCGCCCTATGGGACTCGCGGTCACGGCCGGTAATGACACAGCCCCGAACTCCAGGCTGTAGTGACGCCGCAATACTGCGATGCAGTGCCTTAGACTGCTGTGCCACTCGGTAGGCCCATTTACCAACATTTCTGAACATGGATATATAATGCTTTGGAATGAAACTCTTCATATACAGGGCTATACTTGGTTGACTACTGTACTATGTGAACACGAACACCCTAGAAAGCATCTAGGCACAAGTCAGTTTCTTTAGGACCATAGTAGGAGAGACCCTGTTTATGTATATGATGTAGATTAAGTCATTATTAAGAATGGTTCCACTCAAAGGGTGTCTATCTCTATTCATAATGTTGTAGAGGAGAAGGAGGAAAATAATCTTATTGGTGAATATTCAGAGAATCAGCATTCCAACTTGTCTCTCCCTTCTCCCTCTAGCACCAGCAGCTGTGTGGACGATTTGATGGATGAAGATGAGAAAGACAGGGCAAAAAGGTATTCCACGTGTTTGTGTACACGTGTGTGTCTCTGAGAGAGAGACATTTGAGTGTGAGGACGCAAGATGAGGCAGACAGAGATAAGTGGAAGTTCACAGCTTGTACCTGTTAATGAAAGGTCCTCTATGGCGTGGCCCTACTTTGGCATTACATCTGAAGATGTCTGCTTTGTAGATGTCAAGACATTTTCAGTTCTAGAAATCACTTTTCACCTCAGCACAAAGGCACATGTTTCTGTGGGATTCTGTGCCTAGACAGCTTAGAAAAATGTAATAGGAAGGTGTTGAGGAGAGGGCCCCCTCCATCTATCCAACAGGGTCAAGACATTTTTGCTTTCCAGTAATGATGCACACAAGTAGACTTTCAAATCATTGTCAGGGGGTGCAGATGTATCTGTGTCTGGGGAGAATGGCAGCAAAAACTACAAGTAAGAGAAAATGTCTGAAAGTTTGTGTTAATGGTAGATTTTGTGTTTGCTATGTTTTTTCCATCACAAGTCCATATGGGATGAATCTTCATAAACGTTTGCTTGTGCGATCAGAAGGGATTTTGTGTGGATCCACTATACTATCATTACTCTCTTAGCATCCTGCAAGCTGGTTTATGGTGGCGGAGGAATGAGTGAATTGCGATGGTGGTTATTTATAAGCAGGAGTGTGTGTTTCATAAATACGAAGCTGTAGTTGAGCTCGCAACTTCCACCTCAAATGCACTTCTTTATCAATAATTTATAAAGCATATACAGTCGTGGTCAAACGTTTTGAGAATAACACAAATACTAATTTTCACAAAGTTTGCTGCCTCAGTTTTGATGATGTTAATTTGCATATACTCCAGAATGTCATGAAGAGTGATCAGATGAATTAAATTAATTGCAAAGTCCCTCTTTGCCATGAAAATGAACTTAATCCCCCAAAAACATTTCCACTGCATTTCAGCCCTGCCACAAAAGGACCAGCTGCCATCATGTCAGTGATTATCTCGTTAACACAGGTGAGAGTGTTGACGAGGACAAGGCTGGAGATCACTCTGTCATGCTGATTGAGTTAGAATAACAGACTGGAAGCTTTAAAAGGAGGGTGGTGCTTGAAATCATTGTTCGTCCTCTGTTAACCATGGTTACCTGCAAGGAAACACGTGCAGTCATCATTGCTTTGCACAAAAAGGGCTTCACAGGCAAGGATATTGCTGCTAGTAAGATTGCACCTAAATCAACCATTTATCGGATCATCAAGAACTTCAAGGAGAGAGGTTCAATTGTTGTGAAAAAGGCGTCAGGGCGCCCAAGAATGTCCAGCAAGCACCAGGACCGTCTCCTAAAGTTGATTCAGCTGCGGGATCGGGGCACCACCAGTGCAGAGCTTGCTCAGGAATGGCAGCAGGCAGGTGTGAGTGCATCTGCACGCACAGTGAGGCGAAGACTTTTGGAGGATGGCCTGGTGTCAAGAAGGGTAGCAAAGAAGACACTTCTCTCCAGGAAAAACATCAGGGACAGACTGATATTCTGCAAAAGGTACAGGGATTGGACTGACTGCTAAGGACTGGGGTAAAGTCATTTTCTCTGATGAATCCCCTTTACGATTGTTTGGGGTATCCGGAAAACACCTTGTCCGGAGAAGACAAGGTGAGCGCTACCATCAGTCCTGTGTCATGCCAACAGTAAAGCATCCTGAGACCATTCATGTGTGGGGTTGCTTCTCAGCCAAGGGAGTGGGCTCACTCACAATTTTGCCTAAGAACACAGCCATGAATAAAGAATGGTATCAACACATCCTCAGAGAGCAACTTCTCCCAACCATCCAAGAACAGTTTGGTGACGAACAATGCCTTTTCCAGCATGATGGAGCACCTTGCCATAAGGCAAAAGTGATAACTAAGTGGCTCGGGGAACAAAACATCGACATTTTGGGTCCACGGCCAGGAAACTCCCCAGACCTTAATCCCATTGAGAACTTGTGGTCGATCCTCAAGAGGAGGGTGGACAAACAAAACCCCACAAATTCTGACAAACTCCAAGCATTGATTATGCAAGAATGGGCTGCCATCAGTCAGGATGTGGCCCAGAAGTTAATTGACAGCATGCCAGGGCGGATTGCAGAGGTCTTGAAAAAGAAGGGTCAACACTGCAAATATTGACTCTGCTTAAACTTAATGTAATTGTCAATAAAAGCCTTTGACACTTATGGAATGCTTGTAATTTTGTGAAGACCAATACTTGTCATTCTCAAAACTTTTGACCACGACTGTATATGGTCAATGTTCTGAAGTGTATATGGTCTGAAATGTAATCCTGTACATTTATCATCTTTTCTATTGAAGGGCATCTCGTAACAAATCAGAAAAGAAAAGAAGAGACCAATTCAATGTGCTCATCAAGGAGCTATGCACCATGTTGCAGGGCCAAGGCCATCCACGCAAGATGGACAAGTCCACCATACTGCAGAGAACTATCGACTTCCTGCAGAAACAGAAAGGTAGGAATGTGTAACGTAGTCGGCTGCGTCAGTCATCACGTTGATGTTGGCCTCCTGCTGACCTGTCGTATGTGTGTGTGTGCGTGTGGCACGTGCGTCCTGCCCTACATGCAGAACATCACTGCTCCCAGAAAGGTCGGGATGAGAAGGAAGGAACTAGGAGGGTGGAGGACATTAGCTGTCTAGTACTTGTTGGACAGGACAGAGAGAAAAGAGAGGACTACTCCACTTCCCTACCAAGCTTGGCCCAGACAGACAGAACCTCAACTCAGTCTCCTGTCAGAATCAACGTCACAGCTGTCAGTGTTTACGAGATAAACATTCCTGATATGGGATATTTCTTAACCTCTCTTTCTCTTCTGTTATGTGTCTCCTGTTTTTTCAGAGACAGCTTGACCACTCGGGTCTATTCAGAGATATTCATCAGGATCCTTCCACTACTAACCTATTTGGCAGCGATTGCCACGGGATGTGGATGTGTAGTGCTAACATATCTATCTAACCCCTCTTCCTGGCCTTTCACTGTCTCCTCTGTTTCAGAAATTACAGCACAGACAGAGTCGTGTGAGATCCGGCAGGACTGGAAGCCTTCGTTCCTCAGTAATGAGGAGTTCACCCAGTTGATGCTGGAGGTAAAAATCAGCTCAGCTCCACGTTTATCTCCTCTGATATGAAATAAAGTCAAATGATATCCTTCACTACTACTGGTGATAGACCATGTCAACTGCGTTTATTTTCAGCAAACATGTGTAAATATTTGAACATAACAAGATTCATCAACTGAGACATAAACTGAACAAGTTCCACAGACATGTGACTAACATAAATTTAATAATGTGTCCCTGAACAAAGGGGGGGGGGGTCAAAATCAAAAGTAACAGTCAGTATCTGGTGTGGCCACCAGCAAGTATTGCAGTGCATCTCCTCCTCATGGACTGCACCAGATTTGCCAGTTCTTGCTGTGAGATGTTACCCCACTCTTCCACCAAGGCACCTGCAAGTTCCCTGACATTTCTGGGGGGAATGGCCCTAGCCCTCACCCTCCGATCCAACAGGTCCCAGACGTGCTCAATGGGATTGAGATCCGGGCTCTTCGCTGGCCATGGCAGAACACTGACATTCCTGTCTTGCAGGAAATCACGCACAGAACGAGCAGTATGGCTGGTGGCATTGTCATGCTGGAGAGTCATGTCAGGATGAGCCTGCAGGAAGGGTACCACATGAGGGAGGAGGATGTCTTCCCTTTAACGCACAGCGTTGAGATTGCCTGCAATGACAACAAGCTCAGTCCGATGATGCTGTGACACACCACCCCAGACCGTGACGGACCCTCGACCTCCAAATCGATCCCGCTCCAGAGTACAGGCCTCGGTGTAACGCTCATTCCTCCGACGATAAACGCGAATCCGACCATCACCCCTGGGTGAGACAAAACCGCGACTCGTCAGTGAAGAGCACTTTTTGCCAGTCCTGTCTGGTCCAGCGACGGTGGGTTTGTATCCATAGGCAACGTTGTTGCCGGTGATGTCTGGTGAGGACATGCCTTACAACAGGCCTACAAGCCCTCAGTCCAGCCTCTCTCAGCCTATTGCGGACAGTCTGAACACTGATGGAGGGATTGTGCGTTCCTGGTGTAACTCAGGCAGTTGTTGTTGCCATCCTGTACCTGTCCTGCAGGTGGGATGTTCGGATGTACCGATCCTGTGTTGTTACACGTGGTCTGCCACTGCGAGGACGATCAGCTGTCCGTCCTGTCTCCCTGTAGCGCTGTCTTAGGAGTCTCACAGTACGGACATTGCAATTTATTGCCCTTGCCACATCTGCAGTCCTCATGCCTCCTTGCAGCATGCCTAAGGCACGTTCACGCATATGAGCAGGGACCCTGGGCATCTTTCTTTTGGTGTTTTTCAGAGTCAGTAGAAAGACCTCTTTAGTGTCCTAAGTTTTCATAAATGTGACCTTAATTGCCTACCGTCTGTAAGCTGTTAGTGTCTTAACGACCGTTCCACAGGTGCATGTTCATTAATTGTTTATGGTTCATTGAACAAGCATGGGAAACAGTGTTTAAACCCTTTACAAAGAAGATCTGTGAAGTTATTTGGTTTTTTACAAATTATCTTTGAAAGACAGGGTCCTGAAAAAGGGACGTTTCTTTTTTTTGCTGAGTTTAGAATATGCTTTGTAAATGAAGGAATACTGTACTTTGACATCCTAATGAACCTCTGTAGGCCAGCACCAGCAGTACCCATGATGCACCTCTGAAACAAATATAACACACAATAATTATAGTAGCCGGCATAATAATAATGACTTTGTTTCCTTCCACAGGCTTTAGACGGTTTCCTCATAGCACTAACTACAGATGGAAACATTATATATGTGTCCGACAGTGCGTCTTCACTCATTGGCCATTTACCGGTAAGTGAGAGCCACGCTGATCTAGCTCATAATTGCATTATGTTTGATTCTTTTTAACTTAATATTCATGTATATACTTATGATCTCAATACACTCGTTCAAATCAATGTATGCTTTATTGCAATTTGGACACTGACACTACAGTATGGTATGTATAGTTGAAGTCTACATACACCTTAGCCAAATATGTTTAAACTCAGTTTTTCCACAATTCCTGACATTTAATCCTAGTAAAAATTCAGTTTTAGGTCAGTTAGGATCACCACTTTATTTTAAGAACGTGAAATGTCAGAATAATAGTAGAGAGAATGATTTATTTCATCACATTCCCAGTGGGTCAGACGTTTACATACACTCAATTTGTATTTGTTAGCATTGCCTTTAAATTGTTTAACTTGGGTCAAACGGTTCGGGTAGCCTTCCACAAGCTTCCCACAATAAGTTGGGTGAATTTTGGCCCATTCCTCCTGACAGAGCTGGTGTAACTGAGTCAGCTTTTTAGGCCTCCTTGCTCGCACACGCTTTTTTAGTTCTGCCCACAAATGTTCTATATGATTGAGGTCAGGGCTTTGTGATGGCCACTCCAATACCTTGACTTTGTTGTCCTTAAGCCATTTTGCCACAACTTTGGAAGTATGCTTGGGGTCATTGTCAATTTGGAAGACCCATTTGCGACCAAGCTTTAACTTCCTGACTGATGTCTTGAGATGTTGCTTCAATATATCCACATAATTTTCCTTCCTCATGATGCCATCTATTTTGTGAAGTGCACCAGTCCCTCCTGCAGCAAAGCACCCCCACAGCATGATGCTGCCACCCCCGGTGCTTCACGGTTGGGATGGTGTTCTTCGGCTTGCAAGCAACCCCCTTTTTCCTCCAAACATAACGATGGTCATTATGGCCAAACAGTTCTATTTTTGTTTCATGTCGATATAGGACTCGTTTTACTGTGGATATAGATACTTTTGTACCTTTTTCCTCCAGCATCTTCACAAGGTCATTTGCTGTTGTTCTGGGATTGATTTGCACTTTTCGCACCAAAGTACGTTAATCTCTAGGAGACAGAACGCGTCTCCTTCCTGAGCGGTATGACGGCTGCGTGGTGCGTGGTCCCATGGTGTTTATACTTGCGTACTATTGTTTGTACAGATGAACGTGGTACCTTCAGGCGTTTGGAAATTGCTCCCAAGGATGAACCAGACTTGTGGAGGTCTACAATTTTTTTTCAGAGGTCTTGACTGATTTCTTTTGATTTTCCAATGATGTCAAGCAAAGAGGCACTGAGTTTGAAGGTAGGCCTTGAGATACATCCACAGGTACACCTCCAATCGACTCAAATGATGTCAATTAGCCTATCAGAAGCTTCTAAAGCCATGACATAATTTTCTGGAATTTTCCAAACTGCTTAAAGGCACAGTCAACTTAGTGTATGTAAACTTCTGACCCACTGGAATTGTGATACAGTGAATTATAAGTGTAATAATCTGTCTGTAAACAATTGTTGGAAAAATTACTTTTGTCATGCACAAAGTAGATAACCTAACCAACTTGCCAAAACTATAGTTTGTTAACAAGAAATTTGTGGAGTGGTTGAAAAACAAGTTTTAATGACTCCAACCTAAGTGTATGTAAACTTCCGACTTCAACTGTACCTGTATTTATATATGTTAGCCAGAAAGAGCCATTCTTCTGCAAAACTGGTGAAAAAATCTAAATAATTGCAAAAGAGGGCCATCGCATAAGATATGAATAGTCAAGGACTTGGAATTATAAGGTTCTATCTGCAAAATGTATAGTTATGGAGTATTATTCAAGTCCCAGTTTTGTGATGTCTTCCTCTTTCATGACTCAATAAGTACATCACCTTACATGCCTACAATATGAAGATTCACAATGCAATACCATACATTATAAAATGACTGTGATATAGGACATGTTCATGGACAATGATGGACCATAGACACTGACCTTTTATCCTTTTGTATCAGTCAGATATGGTGGACCAAAATATCTTGAACTTCCTCCCTGAGCGTGAGCATGGGGAGGTCTATAAGCTGCTATCATCCCACATGCTGATGACTGACCCCATCTCTGCTGACTTCCTGGACAGTGAGTATTTGTTCCTCCTTTTCACTGTCTCAGTACCACCCTTCTCAGTCCATCAGTACTGGGTCTACCTCCAGCCCTGTCTCCACCAGGAATGCTCAGTTTAGGAGATGGCTGTGTATTTTACAATAGTGTTGTTTGATGAGAAGTTTGCAATGTTCTTGCCTGTCTCAGAGTGTCTTGGACTCGTGGTGATGAGAAGTAATCTGTGATGTCTAATCAGAGAGTCCATCACCATATTAATTAGCTTTTGTATAAATATTATGGGTGACATTTAACAAACATTTACGCTATAATTATGTTGTTGTTCATCCACAGGTCTAAACTAGGGTAGCTGAATAAAAATGTGTACTGTTTTGTTTTTCTTATTGGCACTATGTTACAGAACAATTATTCAAGTCGGATATATCACTTATTTCATTAACGATATCCCCATGTCATGAATTATACATCAAAGCATGCAGTAGCCGAGCAGTCATGCCAAAGCCTCCAACACAAGCAGCGATTTTATTCCAGCAGTGGGGATAATTCTGTTTGACACGGTGTTAAGTCTCTCCTGTAGGCATCCATCCAGTTCTATTGTATTTACATGACTATTGCTACTGAGCTTTAGGAGTTCAAGCTGTACTGTACTGTTCGTCTGCTGATCATTACAGTACAGTACTGTGTTTTAGGGACCACCTGCTGTAGACGTCTGACTGACGATATTTTCACACGATTCTACATGTAAAATCGGTGTGCACTCGGTATAGCAAATTACGGCCGGCACGCTGTTCAGAGGTGCTAAGTATTCTCGGCTAGAAAACGCTAATGGTGTGTTTGAGACCTTAAATATAGAGCAGGTTGCTGTTTATTGGATTTCTGGACAGTGTGGTCCTATGATGAGTTCTTTAGCTAATAATAGTAGCTAGCCTAGCAGCGTGGTTAGGAGTTTTAATCACTGTTATGGTAGCTTCAGTAATCCACAGGAGTGCTGCCTGTATCTAGGGCTCTAGACACTGACCTCAATCCCATGCTACAATTGTGCCCTTCTGAGAAAGAGACTGGTGTGGAATCGTCTAGGTTCTATGTTTAGAACTACAGGAATACAAAGCATAGACTGTATTCCTGTACCTACTGTGTCTGGAATAATCATCATCTCCTAGCCTCATTCACAACAGGCAATTCCTGCATTTATCTTTCATCTCCTTTCTTTCATGTAAAACAATACTGCTTCTCACGCTTAACACACAGAATGCTTAGGAAGTCTGCAATTTTCTTTTGGTTAATGTGCTGCTGTTATTCTGTTGACGATTGCATTTGGTAATGTGTGTTGCTCTGAGTTGAGTGATCATCACTATTACATACATTATGTGCACTGCACTCCCACCTGAGGATAAAGGAGCTCTCGGGTACTTCTAGCTACTCTTAGATAAGTGAACTCAGATCCGTGAGTCGGAGCTTACAGTACCACAGAGGAAGCATTTGAGTTTAATTTGAATCCAGGTAGATATGTAACAATGGAGGGATGATATAAGTCTTGGTTTGATAAGGAATGTTTTCTCTCTCTCTCTCTCTCTCTCTCTCTCTCTCTCTCTCTCTCTCTCTCTCTCTCTCTCTCTCTATTTAAGGGGTTTTATTGGCATGGGAAACATATGTTTACATTGCCAAAGCAAGTGAAATAGATAATAAACAAAAGTGAAATAAAAAATGTACAGTAAACATTACACTCACAAAAGTTTCAAAAGAATTAAGACATTTGAAGTGTCATTATGTCTATATACAGTGTTGTAATGATGTGCAAATAGTTGAAGTACAGCTCTCTCTCTCTCATCTCATCAGTTTGAATGGCACAGGGCCACTGGTATTTTCAGCCTCCTGACAATGCTTTATTTTCAGTCTAATGAAGAGCAACACATTGGGTTTGGAGGCTTAATAAAACATTTATACAGTGAATCTCCTCAGTGTGTACAGTACATCTGAGCTAGTGCTCTGACATGACACACTAATTCAGTGGAGGCATTCTCTTGACCCAAGGTAACCCGTGTAAAGAGGAACCATGGACTCACTAGAAAATGACATGACTGTGGTCAGACATTCTGTGTGACTGTGACTTTGTGTCTGGATGAGGAGTATTTGGAACAGCTCAGTTTGTGAGAGAGTGTCGATGGCACAGTGACATACATACTCCCCCTCATCCTCTCCCCCGCTGGTCTCGTTCCCCTGCCAAGTAAAACCTCAGCTGTAGGAACAACACTGCTGAGCCGTCCCATGACAACTGAGACAAACGATGTTGGGTTGAATGCCATTCACTGGGAGCGGTGTGATTTCCAGCCATGAGAGAAAGGCCAAAATGTCTGACCTGTCAGCGGTTGTGAGGAGCAGAAGTTGTAATGGCAAAATAATGATTGTCATCATTATTTTCCCTGAGATTCACCAGCTCTGTCAGGGTTTCATCCAAGGCTCTCACATAAAATGTTAAACTATTTAGAAACAGAGTTTATCATGTTGCACCATGAAGACTACAAGATGATATACACTACATGACCAAAAGTATGTGGACACCTGCTCGTCGAACATCTCATTCCAAAATCGTGGGCATTAATATGGAGTTGGTCCCACCTTTGCTGCTATAACAGCCTCCACTCTTCTGGGAAGGCTTTCCACTAGATGTTGGAACATTTGCTACGGGGACTTGCTTCCATTCAGTCAACAGGGGCATTATTGAGGTCGGGCACTGATGTTGGGCGATTAGGCCTGGCTCTGCATTCCAATTCATCCCAAAGGTGTTCGATGGGGTTGAGGTCAGGGCTCTGTGCAGGCCAGTCAAGTTCTTCCACACCAATCTCGACAAACCATTTCTGTATGGACCTCGCTTTGTGCACGGGGGCATTGTCATGCTGCAACAGGAAAGGGCCTTCCCCAAACTGTTGTCACAAAGTTGGAAGCACAGAATCGTCTAGAATGTCATTGTATGCTGTAGCATTAAGATTTCTCTTCACTGGAACTAAGGGGCCTAGCCCCAACCATGAAAAACAGCCCATACCATTATTCCTCCTCCACCAAACTTTACAGTTGGCACTATGCATTGGGGCAGGTAGAGTTCTCCTGGCATCCGCCAAACCCAGATTCGTCCGCCAGATGGTGAAGCATGATTCATCACTCCAGATAATGCATTTCCACTGCTCCAAAGTCCAATGGCGGCGTGCTTTACACCATTCCAGCCCATGCTTGGCAGTGCGCATGTTGATCTTAGGCTATAGAAGCTCCCGACGAACAGTTATTGTGCTGACGTTGCTTCAAGAGGCAGTTTGGAACTTGGTAGTGAGTGTTGCAACCGAGGACAGATGATTTTTACGCGCTTCAGCACTTGGTGGTCCTGTTCTGTGAGCTTGGGGGCCTACCACTTTGCGGCTTAGCCGTTGTTGCTCCTAGTCGTTTCCACTTCACAATAACAGCACTTACAGTTGACCGGGGCAGCTCTAGCAGAACAGAAATTTGACTAACTGACTTGTTGGAAAGATGGCGTCCTATGACGGTGCCACGTTTAAAGTCACTAAGCTCTTCAGTAAGGCCATTCTACTGCAAATGTTTGTCTATGGAGATTGCATGGCTGTGTCCTCGATTTTATACACCTGTCAGCAACGCGTGTAGCTGAAATAGTTGAATCCACTAATTTGAAGGGGTGTCCACATACCTTTGTATATACAGCTCTGGAAAAAATTAAGAGACCACTGCAAATCTTTCTTAAATCAGCATCTCTACATGTATGATAGCCATTCCATTCCAGTGTCTGTTGAATTCCAACACAGGCACACCTCATTCTACTGCATTAGGTACTGATTAGGTGATCACCTGAACCAAATGTTATTTAACGAGGAAAAGTATAAAAACCACTGCTGTGGTCATCACTATCCTCTTGCAATAGGACCAGCTGGATGGCAAAAACAGTGCTAATAGTACCTCAAAAGTAATATTAATCAAAAAATAACTATTGACCATGCCAAAAGAGTTGAAAAGGAAAGTTTTGAGTGAGGAAAAGAAGGGTTCAATTCTGGCTTTACTGGCAGAGGGATACAGTGAGCGTCAGGTTGCTTCCATCCTTAAAATTTCAAAGACGGCGGTTCATAAGAACAAGGTCAAGCAGCAGACATTGGGGACAACAAAGCTACAGACCGGCAGAGGGCGAAAACGACTCTCTACTGACAGGGATGACCGCCAACTCATTCGAATTTCACTCAACAACCGTAGTATGACATCAAGTGACCTACAAAAAGAATGGCAAACGGCAGTTGGGGTGAAGTGCACGGCGAGGACGGTTCGAAACAGGCTCCTAGGGGCAGGGCTGAAGTTGTGCAAAGCTAGAAAAAAGCCCTTCATCAATGAGAAGCAAAGAAGAGCCAGGCTGAGGTTTGCAAAAGACCATAAAGATTGGACCGTAGAGGACTGGAGTAAGGTAATCTTCTCTGATGAGTCCAATTTTCAGCTTTGCCCAACACCTGGTTGTCTAATGGTTAGACGGAGACCTGGAGAGGCCTACAAGCCACAGTGTCTTGCACCCACTGTGAAATTTGTTGGAGGATCGGTGATGATCTGGGGGTGCTTCAGCAAGGCTGGAATCGGGCAGATTTGTCTTTGTGAAGGATGCATGAATCAAGCCACGTACAAGGTTGTCCTGGAAGAAAACTTGCTTCCTTTTGCTCTGACATTGTTCCCCAACTCTGAGGATTGGTTTTTCCAGCAGGACAATGCGCCATGCCACACAGCCAGGTCAATCAAGGTGTGGATGAAGGACCACCAGATCAAGACCCTGTCATGGCCAGCCCAATCTCCAGACCTGAACCCCATTGAAAACTTCTGGAATGTGATCAAGAGGAAGATGGATGGTCACAAGCCATCAAGCAAAGCCGAGCTGCTTGAATTTTTGCGCCAGGAGTGGCATAAAGTCACCCAACATCAATGTGAAAGACTGGTGGAGAGCATGCCAAGACGCATGAAAGCTGTGATTGAAAATCAGGGTTATTCCACCAAATATTGATTTCTGAACTCTTCCTAAGTTAAAACATTAGTATTGTGTTGTTTAAAAATGAACATGGACTTATTTTCTTTGCATTATTCGAGGTCTGACAACACTGCATCTTTTTTGTTATTTTGACAAGTAAGTAATTTTCTGCAAATAAATGCTCTAAATGACAATATTTTTATTTGGAATTTGGGAGAAATGTTGTCAGTAGTTTATAGAATAAAACAAAAAATTTAATTTCACCCAAACACATACCTATAAATAGTAAATCCAGAGAAACTGATAATTTTGCAGTGGTCTCTTAATTTTTTCCAGAGCTGTATATATAGTGTATATAAAAAAGGAAGAGCCGATAGAGGATGTGTAAGTACAACCTGGTAATGGGTTATTTGCTGTGGCAGTAAATATTTTCTCAATGTATTTTTCTTTATGACGAGCATTGTGTTTTGTTGAAGAAACTCCAGCTAACTCCCATCTGCTCTTTTTTACAGGTAAGACACACATTGAGTTCTGTTGTCATTTAGCCAGAGGAAACATCCACCCAAAGGAACCGCCTACATATGAGTATGTGAAATTTGTCGGAGATTTCAAGTTTCATAACAATGGTGAGTGATTGATTATCATCTGTATTTTATGTGCCATTTCATCTTTAGCTACTGACTGAGCTCCAAATTGATAAAAATACAGTTAACTATCTAGTTATATTAATAAGGCCAACTTCTGCATTCAATTGAGTTTGGAATGAAGATTTGTGCCATAAACCAGATGTTATGTCATGAAAACTTACTCATGACATAAAACAGGCAGACAATCCAACAGGTTTTTAAACCGTTTCAGAACTGCATATCTCATTTTGGATCACTATTCAAATATCAGGCTAATTGACTGGAAAATGAGACGTTTGAGGAAATGTTTCCCTCTCCTATGAAATGACGCTCTGTACTGTTGGGTATTTCCATACTCTTTAAAGTGCGGGACTTCCAGTCGGTTTGAATAGCATAATGCCATAGTAAGGTCACCAGAATGTGTGTTGAGATGGAACGGTTATGTAAAGTTATTTGGCACTCGTAGAATAACCCCACACAGCCAATCATAGATTTATTGTGTCTGATTTGCCATTACCCTCGACTCTTAGCTGGAGATCACTACTCCAGTCCTCAGGGGCCACAGTCCTGCTGATTTTTCCTTTCTCAAATTAGTGTGTGATTAAAGGGGCAAGTACAAAATCCCCAGCACACACTGCTGTGGCCGGGAAACACAGTTGACTTTGTTTCACAGCGCCTACTTCCTCTTGTAACAGATATACAGTGGGAGAAAAAAGTATTTAGTCAGCCACCAATTGTGCAAGTTCTCCCACTTAAAAAGATGAGAGAGGCCTGTAATTTTCATCATAGGTACACGTCAACTATGACAGACAAATTTAGATTTTTTTTCTCCAGAAAATCACATTGTAGGATTTTTAATGAATTTATTTGCAAATTATGGTGGAAAATAAGTATTTGGTCACCTACAAACAAGCAAGATTTCTGGCTCTCACAGACCTGTAACTTCTTCTTTAAGAGGCTCCTCTGTCCTCCACTCGTTACCTGTATTAATGGCACCTGTTTGAACTTGTTATCAGTATAAAAGACACCTGTCCACAACCTCAAACAGTCACACTCCAAACTCCACTATGGCCAAGACCAAAGAGCTGTCAAAGGACACCAGAAACAAAATTGTAGACCTGCACCAGGCTGGGAAGACTGAATCTGCAATAGGTAAGCAGCTTGGTTTGAAGAAATCAACTGTGGGAGCAATTATTAGGAAATAGAAGACATACAAGACCACTGATAATCTCCCTCGATCTGGGGCTCCACGCAAGATCTCACCCCGTGGGGTCAAAATGATCACAAGAACGGTGAGCAAAAATCCCAGAACCACACGGGGGGACCTAGTGAATGACCTGCAGAGAGCTGGGACCAAAGTAACAAAGCCTACCATCAGTAACACACTACGCCGCCAGGGACTCAAATCCTGCAGTGCCAGACGTGTCCCCCTGCTTAAGCCAGTACATGTCCAGGCCTGTCTGAAGTTTGCTAGAGTGCATTTGGATGATCCAGAAGAGGATTGGGAGAATGTCATATGATCAGATGAAACAAAAAATATAACTTTTTGGTAAAAACTCAACTCGTCGTGTTTGGAGGACAAAGAATGCTGAGTTGCATCCAAAGAACACCATACCTACTGTGAAGCATGGGGGTGGAAACATCATGCTTTGGGGCTGTTTCTCTGCAAAGGGACCAGGACGACTGATCCGTGTAAAGGAAAGAATGAATGGGCCCATGTATCGTGAGATTTTGAGTGAAAACCTCCTTCCATCAGCAAGGGCATTGAAGATGAAACGTGGCTGGGTCTTTCAGCATGACAATGATCCCAAACACACCGCCCGGGCAACGAAGGAGTGGCTTCGTAAGAAGCATTTCAAGGTCCTGGAGTGGCCTAGCCAGTCTCCAGATCTCAACCCCATAGAAAATCTTTGGAGGGAGTTGAAAGTCCGTGTTGCCCAGCGACAGCCCCAAAACATCACTGCTCTAGAGGAGATCTGCATGGAGGAATGGGCCAAAATACCAGCAACAGTGTGTGAAAACCTTGTGAAGACTTACAGAAAACGTTTGACCTGTGTTATTGCCAACAAAGGGTATATAACAAAGTATTGAGAAACTTTTTTTATTGACCAAATACTTATTTTCCACCATAATTTGCAAATAAATTCATTAAAAATCCTACAATGTGATTTTCTGGAGAAAAAAAAAGCTCATTTTGTCTGTCATAGTTGACGTGTACCTATGATGAAAATTACAGGCCTCTCTCTTCTTTTTAAGTGGGAGAACTTGCACGATTGGTGGCTGACTAAATACTTTTTTCCCCCACTGTACCTGTGTGGGGTTGATGATAATATATTATAATATAATATAATAATATGCCATTTAGCAGACGCTTTTATCCAAAGCGACTTACAGTCATGTGTGCATACATTTTTACGTATGGGTGGTCCCGGGGATCGAACCCACTACCCTGGCGTTACAAGCGCCATGCTCTACCAATTGAGCTACAATTAATCACCCATAGTGTCTATAATATACTGTTGTAATGCACCTAATGGATTGTAGTTGTTTATTCATATTTGCTATTCCTACATCATCCTCTGGTGAGGTATTTAGAGTGACTGTTGTTTCTGTTGTTTCTGACTCACAGTGCCTACATCCTCTTGTAACGGGTTTGAGTTGACATTACCAAGAACCCTGCCGTCGTCGCTGGAAGAGCAGGTCTGCCTTGTTGCCACTGTACGATTAGTCACTCCACAGTTTTTAAAGGTAAGATCATGTTTCTTTTGCTAAATCTTTCCTGATTCCATTTGAGGACATACAAATGGTTTATGTTTGTGGATATTACGTGTAAAGAACGGTGGAAAGGTGTTGAAGAGGGAGCAGAAAATAGTACATTTAGAAAATCCTTGTAAGGCCTGTTTTAGAGGTTTTTGCATTGTGAATCTTCATATTGTAGGCATATAAGGTGATTATTATTATTATTATTATTATTATTATTATTATTATTATTATTATTATAAGGTACTTATTGAGTCATGAAAGACATCACAAAACTGGGACTTGAATAATACTCCATAACTATACATTTTGCAGATAGAACCTTATAATTCCAAGTCCTTGACTATTCATATCTTATGCGATGGCCCTCTTTTGCAATTATTTAGATTTTTTCACCAGTTTTGCAGAAGAATGGCTCTTTCTGGCTAACATATATAAATACAGGTACAGTTGAAGTCGGAAGTTTACATGCACTTAGGTTGGAGTCATTAAAACTCGTTTTTCAACCACTCCACAAATTTCTTGTTAACAAACTATAGTTTTGGCAAGTCGGTTAGGACATCTACTTTGTGCATGACACAAGTAATTTTTCCAACAATTGTTTACAGACAGATTATTACACTTATAATTCACTGTATCACAATTCCAGTGGGTCAGAAGTTTACATACACTAAGTTGACTGTGCCTTTTAAACAGCTTGGAAAATTCCAGAAAATGATGTCATGGCTTTAGAAGCTTCTGATAGGCTAATTGACATCATTTGAGTCAATTGGAGGTGTACCTATGGATGTATTTCAAGGCCTACCTTGAAACTCAGTGCCTCTTTGCTTGACATCATGGGAAAAGCAAAATAAATCAGCCAAGACCTCAGAAAACAAATTGTAGACCTCCACACGTCTGATTCATCCTTGGGAGCAATTTCCAAATGCCTGAAGGTACCACGTTCATCTGTACAAACAATAGTACGCAAGTATAAACACCATGGGACCACGTAGCTGTCATACCGCTCAGGAAGGAGACGCGTTCTGTCTCCTAGAGATGAATGTACTTTGGTGCGAAAAGTGCAAATCAATCCCGAACAACAGCAAAGGATCTTGTGAAGAGGCTGGAGGAAACAGGTACAAAGGTTTTTTTATTTTTTATTTTTTTATTTCACCTTTATTTAACCAGGTAAGCCAGTTGAGAACAAGTTCTCATTTACAACTGCGACCTGGCCAAGATAAAGCAAAGCAGTGCGATTAAAAACAACAACACAGAGTTACATATGGGGTAAAACAAAACATAAAGTCAAAAATACAACAGAAAATATATATATACAGTGTGTGCAAATGTAGCAAGTTATGGAGGTAAGGCAATAAATAGGCTATAGTGCAAAATAATTACAATTAGTATTAACACTGGAATGATAGATGTGCAAGAGATGATGTGCAAATAGAGATACTGGGGTGCAAATGAGCAAAATAAATAACAATATGGGGATGAGGTAGTTGGGTGGGCTAATTTCAGATGGGCTGTGTACAGGTGCAGTGATCGGTAAGGTGCTCTGACAACTGATGCTTAAAGTTAGTGAGGGAGATAAGAGTCTCCAGCTTCAGAGATTTTTGCAATTCGTTCCAGTCATTGGCAGCAGAGAACTGGACGGAATAGCGGCCAAAGGAGGTGTTGGCTTTGGGGATGACCAGTGAGATATACTTGCTGGAGCGCATACTACGGGTGGATGTTGCTATGGTGACCAATGAGCTAAGATAAGGCGGGATTTGCCTAGCAGTGATTTATAGATGGCCTGGAGCCAGTGGGTTTGGCGATGAATATGTAGTAAGGACCAGCCAACAAGAGCGTACAGGTCACAGTGGTGGGTAGTATATGGGGCTTTGGTGACAAAACGGATGGGACTGTGATAGACTACATCCAATTTGCTGAGTAGAGTGTTGGAGGCTATTTTGTAAATGACATCGCCGAAGTCAAGGATCGGTAGGATAGTCAGTTTTACGAGGGCATGTTTGGCAGCATGAGTGAAGGAGGCTTTGTTGCGAAATAGGAAGCCAATTCTAGATTTAGCTTTGGATTGGAGATTCTTAATGTGAGTCTGGAAGGAGAGTTTACAGTCTAACCAGACACCTAGGTATTTGTAGTTGTCCACATACTCTAGGTCAGACCTGTCGAGAGTAGTGATTCTAGTCGGGTGGGCGGGTGCCAGCAGCGTTCGATTGAAGAGCATGCATTTAGTTTTACTAGTGTTTAAGAGCAGTTGGAGGCTACTGAAGGAGTGTTGTATGGCATTGAAGCTCGGTATCTATATCCACAGTAAAACGAGTCCTATATCGACATAACCTGAAAGGCCGCTCAGCAAGGAAGAAGCCACTGCTCCAAAACCGCCATAAAAAAGCCAGACTACGGTTTGCAACTGCACATGGGGACAAAGATCGTACTTTTTGGAGAAATGTCCTCTGGTATGATGAAACAAAAATAGAAATGTTTGCCCATAATGACCATTGTTATGTTTGGAGGAAAAAGGGGGTTGCTTGCAAGCCGAAGAACACCATCCCAACTGTGAAGCACGGGAGTGGCAGCATCATGCTGTGGGGTTGCTTTGCTGCAGGAAGGACTGGTGCACTTCACAATATAGATGGCATCATGAGGAAGGAAAATTATGTGGCTATATTGAAGCAACATCTCAAGACATCAGTCAGGAAGTTAAAGCTTGGTCTCAAATGGGTCTTCCAAATGGACAATGACCCCAAGCATACTTCCAAAGTTGTGCCAAAATGGCTTAAAAACAACAAAGTCAAGGTATTGGAGTGGCCATTACAAAACCCTGACCTCAATCCTATAGAAAATGTGTGGGAAGAACTGAAAAAGCATGTGCGAGCAAGGAGGCCTACAAACCTGACTCAGTTACACCAGCTCTGTCAGGAGGAATGGGCCAAAATTCCCCCAACTTATTGTGGGAAGCTTGTGGAAGGCTACCCGAAACGTTTGACCCAAGTTAAACAATTTAAAGGCAATGCTACCAAATACTAATTGAGTGTATGTGAACTTCTGACCCACTGGGAATTTGATGAAAGAAATAAAAGCTTAAATAAATCATTCTCTCTACTATTATTCTGACATTTCACATTCTTAAAATAAAGTGGTGATCCTAACTGACCTAATACAGGGAATTTTTGCTAGGATTAAATGTCAGGAATTGTGAAAAACTGAGTTTAAATGTATTTGGCTAAGGTGTATGTAAACTTCCAACTTTATTTTTTAATTTTTTTTATTTAACCTTTATTTAACTAGGCATGTCAGTTAAGAACAAATTATTATTTACAATGACGGCCTACACCGGCCAAACCCGGACGACACTGGGCCAATTGTGCGCCACCCTATGGAACTCCCAATCACGGCCGGTTGTGATACAGCCTGGAATCGAACCAGAGGGTCTGTAGTGACGCCTCAAACACTGAGATGCAGTGCCTTAGACCGCTGCTCCACTCTGTACCTTGGAGCATGTTTAAGGCCCATTGGAGAGGCATTGCTGTTTTCTCTTATATCATTATATATATCAATACGAAACTTTCCCATAGAAGGAGTATTTCACAAAAAATACAAACTTTGCACATTTCATGGATATCTAGCAAGTAGTTTGCTTACTATGGGCATCAGAGACCTGACAAATATTTAAGTTTACTCATATAGAGGTAAGCTTTAGCAATGTTCCTAGTTATCCATAGGATATAGTGTATTTGTCATTTTAGTGAACTATTGCTTTAACAAATATATGGTGAACATGAATTCATGTACTTGAAAATGTGGTTTGAAGAAAGGGTATTCTCTTCATTTATAAATGACTTTACTTTTCTATGAAATAACCTTTTTACTCAACCCAGATCCACTTTTGAGAAAAACAATGTTACAATTACAACCCCCTCTCCTAAAAAAACACATTTACAAATGTCCCAGGATTTTGATACTCTGTACTATTACCTTTAAGGGGAGATCTAGACTCTTTGCAGACAGAACCTTATATAATTCCAAGGTCAGAATATATTTTATAGGATTTAAGGACTGGTTATCTAGTGCTTTGTCTTAAATTGTATTTTTTGTTTCTTTGACCAGGATTTGTGTAATGTGGAAGATCCCTGTGATGAATTTACCTCCAGACACAGCCTTGAATGGAAGTTCCTGTACTTAGATCACAGGTAAGAGGAGCTGAGAAACATTCATATCTTGTCTTCCATCTGTTATCTGTCTTTAATTGGATATGTTTCATAGCCTGATGGAAAGCTACACTATCATCGATGCCCATCAACTGACATCCTCTGAGCTGCACATCTTTAGCACTACAGGAACACATAGATTTAAGAGGACAACTGCTGTTCTCTCCTGTCCCTATGTTGGCATTTACATGATATTGTTGTTTGTAAACTCTGTTAACTGGTGTGTCATACTGCCCCGCTGTGTGTCCCTTGGTTACGTGCCATCTGATTGGTTTTGGGTGATCAGTCTCAGTGATCAGCAGACTGCTGCTAGTAGTGTGACTGACTGATTGTGCTAGTTTCCACTGTGTGGCCAGGCCTCCTCACCCAGTAAGGCCTTTAAACCTGCTGCCCTGGATAGTGAGCCACAAGATTAGTCTGCAATGCCAAGTGATAAAGGCCCAGTGAGGCTCAGCCCAGACTGCTACATTCTATCATTCATGACACCAGCGCTGCAGTATCAAATCACATCCATTAACATTTGTTTTTGCCACATTTATTCTATTACAAACATGTTACATTTTACATTTTAGTCATTTAGCAGACGCTCTTATCCAGAGCGACTTACAGTTAGTGAGTGCATAATTGTTTTTCATACTGGTCCCCCGTGGGAAACGAACCCACAACCCTGGCGTTGCAAACGCCATGCTCTACCAACTGAGCTACACGGGACTATACGTTAATGCATACTTTTAAATTATATTATGTGAGCCAAACATAAAATAGAAAATAAAAAATATATTTAAACATTTTCCTTAAAGTATAACTTTTTTGAAAGTTCTAATGTTACTGTCCCCACTACAACAACAAAAACACTTAAATACATGTAATTTTGTCCCTGAAACATTTAATTGAAATACTGTATAATTCCATTCATTCCTATGGAGGACTGCTGCTTCTGAGGAGTGCCAATATGGCCGACAGGTGGCTTCAAAGCCTCTCATTGGCCAATACATAGCATCAGCAATCCAGGGTTTATATATTATTGGGTAAAACCAGGGGAGGAAATTGTACGTCCTGTCCTCTGCTGAACTATAATTGGACATTCACAGCTTCTTGCCAAACTACTGTGCTCTGCGCTGGGTTACAAGAATGGCTGCCTCCATAATGTGACCTGCATGCCATTCTGAATTTGGATTATGGGGGCCTAGGCTAAGTGGATTTAACTGAGCATTGATGAATGAAATGCATCAAGTGAGCCAAAATCATGTCATAATCATAGCTGTGATTATACCGCATGAGAAACGTCACACTCGCTCAGCCCTAACCAATTTAGAGGTGATATTCTGTCAATGTGTCATATCAGTATGCATAAGATGAGGTTCTATTGCCCTGTGTGCTTGAGACAATACAGACTTGTTAGGTTTATTTAATCGTAATGTTTATGTATTTTTCAATGTACTTGTCAAGGTAGTTATGGAATTATCAATCAAGTTATACTCTCCAGGCTATAAAATGGTACATTCCGACAAAATAAATACTGTAGTTATTGTCCCTGTTTAACCAGTCTGTTGTTGTCATAAAACATAGTTGTTTAATATCTTGATTATTCTCTCTTTCCAGAGCTTCACCAATCATCGGCTACTTGCCCTTTGAAGTTCTTGGGACTTCTGGCTATGATTACTATCATGTGGATGACTTGGAGCTAATAGCGCAGTGTCATAAGCAATGTAAGCAACTCTCTCCACTTTCTACTCTCTCTCTTTCACCTCCCCCTCTCCTACCCTCTCTCGCCCTGCCTCACTACCACAGGATCCAGGCAACCATTTCACAAAAATAGGTCATCCCGCTGTAGTTACATTTCTATTTCCACTTCACCAAAGTGCATAAAAAGCCTGGAACAATGAGGCTGCTTAGAGTTTTTCACCCCTGCCCTGATGTTTTAGGATGACGCAAACATCTCCTACCTTGTACACTGTGAACTAGGGCAGTGTGGTGTAGTGGTTTGTATATGCCTGACTGCTGAAAATATCCCTCTGTGTTGTGTTGTCTTCACAGTAATGCAGTTTGGGAAGGGTAAATCCTGCTACTATCGGTTTCTGACCAAGGGTCAGCAGTGGATCTGGCTCCAGACACACTACTACATTACATACCACCAGTGGAACTCCAAGCCAGAGTTCATAGTGTGCACTCACACAGTCGTCAGGTAAACCTAATTCCTCTGTCTCTCTCTGTCATGTTTGGTACAGTATACTCTGACGTCCCATGAGGGTGAGAAAGTTATCACCTCCCTATAGTTCATCAAGATCAGTCTAGTGTAGAGCTATTGAACCTTATCTACTGCATTAGGGGTCTGTGGTATCTGTCTGTCATTTGATATTGTAAATTGAGGATGAATATGATGGGAAAGCTTGATTTATGGGCAGATCATTTGACATTTGATCTTTCTATTGCACTCTTTCACGGACTTGTAGTTATGCGGAGGTGCGAGCGGAGAGGAGGAGAGAGTTTGGCTTGGAGGAGACATCACCTGAGATGGCCACTTCATCATCCATAAAGGTATGAAGAAGAGACTCTGGGATCAAATATAAATAATGAGTCATAAAGAATGTTACAATAACATACAGTATTCAAATTTCATAATGCATAGCCATTTTACCAAGTCGAGTTCCAATTGTAGCAATCATGTACAGTAGTGCTTTACTTCCCACTCCTATGTCAGTGTTCAGAACTGAATGGGATGGTGAATTGCCATGCAAATACGGCGCTATCCAGTGTCAGGCATTGTTGTGTGAATTCTGGGGTAAAAGCAGATGTGTCCCAGATCTTGTTATTGGTTCTGTCAGTACTTAATGCTCCTCTATCCTGTGTGTTCGAGGCTCAGGAGGTGTACCTGGACATCTGTCCCATTCTGGACCCCCCTGGACTGGACAGGATGAGCGGGGCACGCTCAGTGTCCTCCCACAGCTCCCGGAAGTCCTCCCACACGACCCTGTCTGACTCAGCATGTGAGTCCCCCTGCTGCTCTCTTTGTCCAGATAACCCAAATACCCCATACTGAATCAGTCCGTTCCGACTTGAACCCTGTACCATACAACACCACTCTCACCCTAATCCAAACTCTGCACCACAACACACTTACTTAATGTATACTATTTATTTAGATGGTTAATTATGAAGTATGCTTAACCTTCTATGGTACCTATTGATACATTTTTCCCAGCAGCCAACTCGTCTTTGCGGTACACAGATGCTTGCACACCATCACGGCAGTCAGCATCCATCGCTGGGACAGAGGAGAATTCGGCCAGACTCGCACCCAGTAGTGCAAAGGTCAGTTCACCTCATTATGAACTAGCCGGTGGAAAAACCAACATTAGCCCGGCAGTAGCTTCCTGCTCAACTCCCTGTCTCTGTTTTTGTTGTCCTTCTCCTTGTAGACTTTGGGGCTAAACTCTTTTGACCTCCTTCCCCAACTGAGCATCCCTCTTTCTCCTACCTGCAGCCAGCACTCCGCAATGGTGGGTGTTTAGTCTTCCTCTCTCCTGTCTGTCACCTGCCTGCAACAATTTCAAAGATTTTACTCAGTTACTATAGTTCCTACAAGGAAATCCGTCAATTGAAATAAATTCAGTAGGCCCTAATCTATGGATTTCACATGACTGGGAATACAGATATGCATCTGTTGGTCACAGATACCTTGAAAAAAAGGTAGGGGTGTGGATCAGAAAACCAGTCAGTATCTGGTGTGACCACCATTTGCCTCATGCAGCGTGACATCTCCTTCGCATAGAGTTGATCAGGCAGTTGATTGTGGCCTGTGGAATGTTGTCCCACTCCTCTTCAATGGCTGTGCGAAGTTCTTGGATATTGGCGGGAACTGGAACACGCTATCGTACACGTCGATCCAGAGCATCCCAAACATGCTCAATGGGTGACATGTCTGGTGAGTATGCAGGCCATGGAAGAACTGGGACATTTTCAGCTTCCAGGAATTGTGTACAGATCCTTGCAACATGGGGCCTTGCATTATCATGCTGAAACATGAGGTGATGGCGGCGGATGAATGGCATGACAATGGGCCTCAAGATCTCGTCACGGTATCTCTGTATATTCTAATTGCCATCGATAAAATGCAATTGTGTTTGTTGTTCCGTAGCTTATGCCTGCCCATACCATAACCCCACCGCCACCATGGGGCACTCTGTTCACAATGTTGACATCAGCAAACCGCTTGCCCACACGATGCCATACACGTCTGCCATCTCGGTTTCCTGTACAGTTGAAATCTGTGAAGAGCACACGTCTCCAGCGTGCCAGTGGCCATCGAAGGTGGGCCGAACTGCAGTCAGGTCAAGACCCTGGTGAGGACGACGAGTACGCAGACGAGCTTGCCTGAGACGGTTTCTGACAGTTTGTGCAGAAATTCTTTGGTTGTGCAAACCCACAGTTTCATCAGCTGTCCGGTTGGCTGGTCGCAGACGATCCCGCAGGTGAAGAAGCCGGATGTGGAGGTCCTGGGCTGGCGCGGTTACACGTGGTCTGCGGTTGTGAGGCCTATTGGATGTACTGCCAAATTCTCTAAAACAACGTTGGAGGCGGCTTATGGTAGAGAAATGAACATTCAGTTCTCTGGCAACAGCTCTGGTGGACATTACTGTAGTCAGTATGCTAATTGCACACTCCCTCAAAACTTGAGACATCTGTGGCATTGTGTTGTGTGACAAAACTGCACATTTCAGAGTGAGATTTTATTGTCCGCAGCACAAGGTGCACCTGTGTAATGATCATGCTGTTTAATCAGCTTCTTGATATGCCACACCTGTCATGCAGATGGATTATCTTGGCAAAGGAGAAATGCTCATTAACAGGGATGTAAACAAATTTGTGCACAACATTTGAGAGAAATAAGCTTTTTGTACTTTCTTTCAGCTCATGAAACATGGGACCAATGCTTTATATGTTGCCTTTATATTTTTGTTCAGTGTAGATGCAAAACTACTATTCTCAAGTATGTTGAAATTGTCTCAAGATGATCACTCATCTGAAATGAGGCCAAGTAAAAGCATATCCTACATCTGCATGATATGGAAACAAAAAGAGCTGGAAGTGCTAATCAAGCTATAATGATTGTGAGAGTGATTTCTGTGATCCTTGAGTTATCGAGTGCTGTATTTCTGAACTACTGTAGAGCCCTCCTTGGCTCTGAAAATGTGTGTGGGCAGCTTAAAAGGCTTTTGCCAGAGCATGACCCATGCATGGTACTGGGGCGGCAGGTGGCTTAGTGGGTAAGAGCGTTGTGCCAGTAACCGAAAGGTCGCTGGTTCTAATCCCCAAGCCGACTAGGTGAAAAATCTGCCGATGTGCCCTTGAGCAAGGCACTTAACCCTAATTGCTTCTGTAAGTCGCTCTGGATAAGAGCGTCTGCTAAATGACTAAAATGTAAATGTAAATGTAAATGTACTGTGTTGTGAACCGCCTTTATCATGATGGCTGTGTATCCTATTCTTCCAGTCGCAACAACAACAGAAGCCGCAGCAGCAACAGTCCATGTACCAGCAGCAGCAGCCCCCTGAGCCTCAGCTAGGTGTCATGCACCAGCTCAAGGAGCAGCTGGAGGAGAGGACACGCATCCTGCAGATGGACATCAAGACTCAGCAACAGGAGCTGCATGACATCAAGGAGAAGCTGCAGCTGGCTAACCTCCAGGTAACCCTGCTTACCACTAGGCAGACGCCCTGCATAAAACAATCCCTAAACCTAAGCCAAATGTCATAAAGTGGATACAGTAGCTAATCCCTCCTGTGTGTGTGTGTGTGTGTAGATGTTGTTACAGCAGCCGGTCCACAGTGACTTTGGTCAGGTCCAACAGCAGCAGCAGCAGCAGCAGCCTCAGCAGCAGGGTCCAGGGAGGCCAGCCCAGCAGCAGCAGCAGGGCCAGTCTGGGGTGATCAGGCAGGCCTCGAGCCACTCCAAACAGCCTCTTCATGGAGCCCATGGCTCGTCCCCTCACTCTCTCCTCAGAGAGCAAGGCACACCCTCCCCTCAGGTACCCAAGTTCTCCCTCTGTACTTTTATCCCAATAGCTTTCAACATTTACTTTGTATAGAGTAAGCAGGGTAATATTCTGTTAAAATATACAAGGAAGTGGTTTTTGCATGACTGTAGTCAACCTGGTGGTAGTTTCAGTGTTGTTGTTGCTTTAGGTGCAGCAGAGGTTGATAAGGAGTGCAGGCGGGCAGATGCAGGCGGTCAGTCTCCCGGTACAGACCCACACCAACCTGACCATGCCCTTCTACAGCAACCCCATGATGTTCTCTCAGCAGACGAGCGCACGGCCACTGCAGGACGCAAACCAAAGACACTCAGACACTGAGTTTAGCCAAGAGGGACAGCTACGGTGAGCCCTACAGACAGTAAACCACTCAGTCTGATTTCTTGTTGCAGAATTATTTTCAAGAACATGTTGTCGAAAGTCTTGGTCAGTGTAACTCAGCCTTTAGTTTGGTCTGAATTGAAGCAACTTGTAGCTCAGTACATTTTGGGAAACATTGACATGGGAAGCTGTATATTATCAAAACAAAGCTTTACGAGTTGAAGTTGAAATCATATCTATATTGTATGAATTCCAAATTAAAGAACACCTGCTTAACACCTGCTTACTCTAACCTTGAAAAGAAAGTAACTTGATATGAAAGGTTGAAATTAAATTTTGTTAGAAGAAAAAGGTTAGGGTTACATTGGAGAGGTAATAGTCTCCTAGAGTCACGAAACCTTTTGTCCGGTCCATTGTACTAATACTGTGTTTGGGAGATAAATAAATATATCAAGGGTAGAAAATAACAGCTTGTGCAGTCTGTCCCCATGGCCCAGGAGGCTTTTTTTTTTTTTGAAAGGTTGGAGTATTAGCTTTGAGAATTACATAGACTCTTCTTTTTGGCAGCATGCTGCTCAACCAGCCAATGCAGACCCTCGTACCTGATAGCAGTGTTACCTCCCAGGCTTCCCAGTGCAACACAGCCATCCAGCAAACCAAGTAAGTGTGTGTGTATACATTATGTTGACTCTCTTTACACTGTTGTTTATTTGACCTATATGTAGTACATGCAGTGAAATTTGGGAACAATTAATGCATATCCTTGATATGAACTGAACGTACTTAAAACACATGATATACTATTATTTGCAAAGAATCACACCATACCCACATTTTAGCACTACTGATCAACATACACTGAGTGTACAAAACATTAGGAATACCTTCCTAATATTGCGTTGCACCCCCTTTTGCCCTCAGAACAGCTCGTCGGGGCATGGACAATTCGTCAGGGCATGGACTCTACAAGGGGGTATTCCTAATGTTTTGTACACTCAGTGTATGTTGATCAGTAGTGCTAAAATGTGGGTATGGTGTGATTCTTTGCAAATAATAGGGATGCTGGCCCATGTTGACTCCAATGCTTCCCAGTTGTGTCAAGTTGGCTGGATGTCCTTTGGGTGGTGGACCATTCTTGATACACACGGGAAACTGTTGAGCGTAAAAAACCCAGCAGCGTTGCAGTTCTTGACACATTCAAACCGGTGTGGCTTTCACCTACTTCCATACCCCATTCAAAGGCACTTAAATATTTTGTCTGGCCCATCACCCTCTGGGTTCTATTTTAACAAACCTAACGCAATGGTAAATCTAAGCGCAGGCGGTAGCGCTATAGGTTCATGGGTGTGTGAGAATTATTTTTGCTATTTTTACTACTACAATTATCGGCGCAGTTGCTGACATTGGCGTGAAAGTGCTGGGTTTTGATGAATAAACTAATCAAATCAAGGAACTTTGAAGCTCTCAACCTGTTCCACTACATCCTCGTCGATGAGAATGGGGGCGTGCTCAGTCCTCTTTTTTTCCCTGTAGTCCACAATCATCTCCTTTGTCTTGATCACATTGAGGGAGAGGTTGTTATCCTGGCACCACATGGACAGGGCTCTGACCTCCTCCCTATAGGCTGTCTCAACATTGTCGGTGATCAGGCCTACCACTGTTGTGTCGTCGGCAAACTTAATTATGGTGTTGGAGTCGTGCCTGGCCATGCAGTCATGGGTGAACAGGGAGTACAGGAGGGGACTGAGCACGCACCCCTGAGGGGCCCCTGTTGAGGATCAGCGTGGCAGATGTGTTGTTACCTACCCTTACCACCTGGGGGCGGCCCGTCAGGAAGTCCAGGATCCAGTTGCAGAGGGAGGTGTTTAGTCCCAGGGTCCTTAGCTTAGTGATGAGCTTTGAGGGCACTATGGTGTTGAATGCTGAGCTGTAGTCAATTAATAGCATTCTCACGTAGGTGTTCCTCTTGTCCAGGTGGGAAAGGGCAGTGTGGAGTGCAATAGAGATTGCATCATCTATGGATCTGTTGGGGCGGTATGCAAATTGGAGTAGGTCTAGGGTTTCTGGGATAATGGTGTTGATGTGAGCCATGACCAGCCTTTCAAAGCACTTCATGGCTACAGACGTCAGTGCTACGGGTCGGTAGTCATTTAGGCAGGTTATCATAGTGTTCTTGGGCACAGGGACTATGGTGGTCTGCTTGCAACATGTTGGTATTACAGACTCAGTTAGGGACAGGTTGAAAATGTCAGTGAAGACACTTGCCAGTTGGTCAGCGCATGCTCGGAGTACACGTCCTGGTAATCCGTCTAATCCGTCTTGTGAATGTTGACCTGCTCAAAAGTCTTACTCACATTGGCTACAGAGAGCTTGATCACATAGTCATCCGGAACAGCTGATGCTCTCATGCATGCTTCAGTGTTGCTTGCCTCGAAGCGAGCATAGAAGTGATTTAGCTCATCTGGTAGGGTTGTGTCACTGGGCAGCTCGCGGCTGTGCTTCCCTTTGTAGTCTGTAATAGTTTTCAAGCACTGCCACATCCGACGAGCGTCAAAGCCGGTGTAGTACGATTCAATCTTAGTCCTGTATTGACTCTTTGCCTGTTTGATGGTTCGTCGGAGGGCATAGCGGGATTTCTTATAAGCGTCCGGGTTAGAATCCCGCTCCTTGAAAGCTCTACCCTTTAGCCCAGTGTGGATGTTGCCTGTAATCCATGGCTTCTGGTTGGAGTATGTACGTACGGTCACTGTGGGGACGACGTCATCGATGCACTTATTGATTAAGCCAGTGACTGATGTGGTGTACTCCTCAATGCTATCGGAAGAATCCCGGAACATGTTCCAGTGTGTGCTAGCAACACAGTCCTGTAGCTTAGCATCTGCGTCATCTGACCACTTCCTTATTAACCGAGTCACTGGTGCTTCCTGCTTTAGTTTTGGCTTATAAGCAGGAATCAGGAGGATAGAGTTATGGTCAGATTTGCCAAATGGAGGGCGAGGGAGAGCTTTGTAGGCATCTCTGTGTGTGGAGTAAAGGTGGTCTAGAGTTTCTTCCCCTCTGGTTGCACATTTAACATGCTGGTAGAAATTAGGTAGAACGGATTTAAGTTTCCCTGCATTAAAGTCCCCGGCCACTAGGAGCGCTGCCTCTGGATGAGCGTTTTCCTGTTTACTTATGGCCTTATATGGCTCATTGAGTGCAATCGTAGTGCCAGCATCGGTTTGTGGTGGTAAATAGACAGCTACGAAAAATATAGATGAGAACTCTCTTGGTAAATAGTGTGGTCTACAGCTTATCATAAGATACTCTACCTCAGGCGAGCAAAACCTCGAGACCTCCTTAGTATTAGATTTTATGCACCAGCTGTTGTTTACAAATATACACAGACCGCCACCCCTTGTCTTACCGGAGTCAGCCGTTCTATCCTGCCGATGTAGCGTATATCCCGCCAGCTGCATGTTATCCATGTCGTCGTTCAGCCACGACTAGGTGAAACATAAGATATTACAGTTTTTTATGTCCCGTTGGTAGGATAACCAACGGGACGTAATCTTAGGTCGTCTAATTTATTTTCAAATGTTTGAACATAGGCTAATAGGATTGATGGAAGAGGCAGTTTACTCGCTCGCCGTCGGATCCTTACAAGGCACCCCGACCTACGTTCACGATATCTCTCTCTTTCTCATGTGATTGATGGGGATTTGGGCCTTGTCAGGTGTCTGTAGGATATCCTTCGCGTCTGACTCGTTGAAGAAAAATCTTCGTCCAATACGATGTGAGTAATCGCTGTCCTGATATCCAGAAGCTATTTTTGGTCATAAGAGACGGTGGCAGAAACATTATGTACAGAATAAATTACAAATAACAAGTTGTGGGTGTGTCGAGGCTTGGCACCTCACTGGCCAATCAGAACGTGCTCCATGGCGAAATATGTGGTTGCTTCAAGTTGTGTATTTACGGTTCATTGAATGAACTCCAATTCCAATGTTAGTCCATTATAGTTTGTTAAATGTCTTACAGAAACGAAATAACAAAATGTAGACCTATCTTTGCTAAATACATTAACTAGAACCCATTTGCAGTCCACTTGTTCTAAGTAATTGCATGGCTTCAATAGCATTCACTCTGATATAGGGACTAGGCCTACTGTAAATTGCATTATGGCTGATCATGGACAAGGCAAACGTTGTCAATAAGCAAGATTAAATTAATTATTGAAAAGGCCTAAAAACGGCCTGCAGCACAAGATTTCGCTTTACGCGGATGATGTCTTGCTCTACATATCCAACCCTGAGAAATCCCTTCCTCCCATCTTAGATCAATTGCTCAGTATGGCCCCGTTTTCAGGTTATAAGATTAATTTAACAAATCCACTGTCTGCCCTCTCAATATTATACTCACCAGTTCTATGAAGACACTATGCCCATTCCAATGGAAGACACAGGGGTTTCAATACCTTGGGATATTCATAACACCAGATCTGAAAAGGCTTTTCAAAGAGAATTATCTTCCACTCCTGGATCAAATCAAGAACAACCTCCAAACCTGGATCTCCCTCCCAATTAGCTTAGTAGGAAGAATTAATGTAATCCGTATGAACATCCTCCCTAGACTGAACTATTTATTTCAGATGCTCCCATGCTATCTCCCAGCTTCCTTTTTCAAAACAATTAACCAAAGCATCACCAAATTGATATGGGGCAATAAAAAACCTAGGATCAAGCTTTCCACTCTATCGAAACCTGAATCTAAGGGTGGTCTTGCCCTTCCCTCCCTTCAATTGTACTACTGGTCTGCCCAAATCCGCAACATGCTAACATGGATCACAAACAGACAAGAGTCAACGTGGAGCCAGATAGAAGCCCAATCTTGTGGTTCATTGCCACTAAGCTCAACTATATTCATTGATAACTTTAGTGAAGTGGGCAACATAGCCAAAACATTTGTGATTTACAGTACCCTACGAGCGTGGAGGGACTGTAAGAAATACTTGGGCATCTCCTCCCAAATATGTTCTCACTCGCCTATAGTAGGCAACCCAGACTTGCCAAAAGCCCTGAGAGATGCCAACTTCAATCTTTGGCATACTCTAGGAATCAGGACCTTTTCAGACCTATTTCATCAGAAGACCACTACACTGAAATCCTTTCAAGAGCTCTGCAATGAATTCAATGTGCCAAGAACCCATTTTTTAAAATATCTACAAATTAGACATGTCATCTCCTCATTTACTTCCAAGAGGAGGTTTAGAACTCAGTTGAATGAAGTTGAAACCCTTCTTGTCACAGCACAATCCATTAAAGGCAAAATATCCTATATCTATAGACTCCTTTCTGAGAAAGGAGGATCCTCCTTTACTCCTTTGAAAATAATATGGGAAAAGGACCTTGGTCTGACTATCAGTGATGAGTTATGGGCGGAGGTTTGCGACAGGGTATACTGCTCCTCTACTAATGTAAAAATGAAAGAATCTAATTACAAATTTTTGTACACATTTTATTACACTCCCCTGAGACTCCATAAAATGAAAACAGACATTTCTCCTAATTGTAATAGATGTACCTCTGAAAGTGGAACCTATATGCATGTATTTTGGAGCTGCAGAGAGATTGCCAGATTTTGGCAATCTATACATACTGCTGCACAGAAAATACTAGATGTACAGTTTGATATGACCCCGTGTCTCTATCTTCTTAATGCCCAGCAGGACTTTGTTCCTGACAGAGAAAATTTGCTCATGACCATTACATACTTTGCTAAGAAATGTATTCTTCTATTGTGGGCCTCTAATACTTCTCCTACATTTAAAATGTGGATTGACCAGATTGTTGACTTTCTCCCTCTTGAAAAGCTCACTTATGACCTCCACAAGAGACAGCCCAAGTTTGATAGACTCTGGTCTCCACTACTCAACTATATTTCAAATTGGACAGAGTGAATGGGGGAATCAGGGAGATGGGCAGGTGCTGTAAAACCTAAAAACTAATTATTGGCTCGTCATCTCAGCTAAGGCTGGAAATAGCTAATAAGAAAAGGCCTAAAAATAGAATTTAGGCAAAAAATGAAATTCGAAACAAAACGAAACAACAACTTGTTTTAAATAGGCTATGTCACACTTACAGGCATCATAATTTCTCCCGTGGGCATATCATATTAAAACAACTCTGACTATAGAGGGATCTACGCACATCAAAACTTTTCACAGTAGCTGGATCCAATATAAAGAGAGAGGGAGAATGTCCACTCACCTTTATACAGCTCCCAAATATGTTTTATGAACATAATCGGAACTAGTTTACAGATCAGATCGTATTCACACATCTCCAGGAGTTGCATTGCATGCACGCCACGGAGTTGTCACCATAAAACCAGGAAGGTGAATCATTCTACTAAGTTTGGTTCTAATAAAATTAAATGAAAATCAAGCAATCTTTATTTAAAATTTTTATAACAACAATAAATACATGTAAAATGTAATGATATCATCAAATCGCCTGGATAAAGACTCATTGCTGTTGAACCAGTCTTCGTTATAGTACGCCTAGGGTCACAGGAAAATAACTTCTAAATACGAGGTTCAATGGTACAGAGGTTCTCATCGCTCGTTTCATGATGGCCATGGACACGTAGCTTACATCATGGAGGGGGTTTTACGCACGTCCAAAACGGGACCTGCATGGCTAAAATAACGGGCCTCCCTACAATGCATAGATAAAAAGGGAATGTCATCTCACTGTTTTACTCCTTTCAAACTTGATGTTTTAATAAAGCTTTGGTGATTAAGATTTATTTCAAAGCAGTCTCAGGATCCAAACCCTTTATCAACAGTCTTGACTTTTTCGCAACTGCATTGGGCAGGACAAAATGTTTCTAAATACTAATTATACAGGCACCAAAAGCAAATTAGGCTACTCTTGTTCCATGCGCATATGGGCAGTGTGTGTCACGACTGGATAGGCTGCCTTTCCGCTGTCAAAATTCATGCCATAACCAGCTTTTGGTTGGTCTTAAATATCCCTATCAGCGCTGCCTAACATTAGCACTTTGGATTATGTATTTAAGGACACTTCAAATATTTCCATCCTGCCCATCTGAGCTCAAGCGAGCTGATATAAGACAGGTAAATTACTGAACCTGGTGTTAGGGCGGAAAATGCCAGTGCACCAGTTTTTACATGACAAAATTGCAAATTAATATGCATTTGACACTAGCGCCGCCTTAACGCCAGCTGAAAATAGAGCCCTCTGAATGGCACACATACACAAACCATGTCTCAATTGTCTCAAGGCTTAAAAATCCTTCTTTAACCTGTCTCCTTCCCTTTATCTATACTGATTTGAAATGGATTTAACAAGTGACACCAATAAGGGATCATAGCTTTCCCCTGAGTTCACCTGGTCACTCTGTCCTAATGTTTTGTACACTCAGTTTATTACATAGTAAACATATTTGACCTGTTGATTGCACCCATCCCTTCCCAGATACACCCTGGAGCAGCAGATGATGACCCCATCGTTCCCCATGCAGCAGGTGAACTGCAACGCTGTCCTGGTCCCCTCTCCCGTCTTCACGTCCTCCATCATGATCCCTCACAACAGCTTTATCACGCACCAGGCCCAGCCCGCCTACCATGCTCAGCAGCAGGCCTGCCAGCACTCTCTGCAGCTGCAGCAGCCCCAGCAGTTCTTTCAGGTACAGTAGTAGTCCTACTACTTGCAGTAGTGTGATAGCAGGCCTTGGGCTGGGGGGGTTTGGCTCACTCTGTACAACTAGTATCACCTCACTTATGCCCTAATCCCTTTCTGTTGATAGATGCAGCCCCAAGGACTCTTACACAGTGGAACCACTCAGGCTTTCTTCCACACCACTAATGTCCCACAGCAAGGTACTGTGGGTTATATTCAACAACAACCGCAGCAGCAACAACAACCACAACAACAGCAGCAACAACGGCAACACCAATATTCCCAAAACCAGACTGGCAGCCTTTCAGACTTCCGAAATATGCTCACTCAGTAGCACCGAAGACACAAACAGAGTGGTGAGATATTCCCTGAAACGTATTGTCACAGGTTCGGGGGCAGAATTCTATGGGATGCATAGAAGACACAGAGAGGCATATTTGGTACCATGCTGTGCTGTGTTCTTCACTGTTTAAGAAGCCATTGTGGCTTTGTTTCCACAGCAAAAAAAAACATGAAAATGAAAATATGCCTGTGGTGACCTTACTTCTGATAAGGAGCCACCCTTTTTAGACAAAGCGTTTTTTGTACCACATGCTGGGTTGAACCACAGGCAGAGGCTGCTTGGACAGGGGGTGGCCCCCAAGGCGACAGCTCTCCCGGAAATGGAAAAGGAGTCAGTGTGCTGAAGGGCTTCGCTTCGCTGCACCACCATCTCTTTCCACAGAGCTACTGGGGGCCATGCTTATTCGTCATATTTCATCATGACACTGCTGGATGGAAAACACTATCAAAGTAATCAACAGGAAAACCTTGCTGCTGTGTGTTTTCATGCAGATGTGTTTTCAACAAAAAGAGAGGTTATTGTTAGGTGAGTCTAATTGTGCACTGACTGCACTGTGTTCATACCATATGTCCTGTTGTTTCCAGAGAGTAAACGCATGCAGTGAGCATTTACTCCTTCAAAGTTGCATCTTCATTTCACTTCATTTCACATGAAAAACACTTATGTGTCTGTAGGTTAGGGTTTTGCTGTGCAGTTGTTGCATAAAAAAAGTATGTAACATAGGAAGACTGTTATGAAACAGTAGTTTTACAAACCTATAAAACATAATATTTTCTCCCACAAGGAAATGTAAAGGAAGGGATTCATTTTGATGTTGGACATGTCGTTTTTTTCATCAAACATTCAGTCAGCCACTCCCAGACATAGTTGATATCATTATTAAACACTTAAGTATATTCACCACTCAACAATATTAGTCCATGTTTGGGGTTGCAGTTGCTGACTGACACAGCAACTGGAACAATGTCCTCATACAATGACTATTATTTTAATTATAGAATCAAATATTTAGAAATGTTTTCTAAAAGCGAAGAATAGTACCAATTTAATTATGGCAACATTTGTATTCAATAATTCATAAAAATCAGGCTTCATATTGTTTATCCACACCTTAATGGAAAGAGCGAACATTATTAGTAGACTACCATAGCATGTTTGTTCATTTACCATATATTTCTAAACAAATTTAAGCTGTTCTCCTGGGTGCGTTTTTAATCAGGCATTTAAAGATAAGACAATAAGGTCTTAATGCCTTAACTGGCTCACAAGAATAAACTACTAACAGCACAATAACGGTAGTTTGTTGCCCAAATCACCCAAGGACTCATTGTTTTGTATCAAGTGTAACAGATGCTGCAATGATTAGGAAGACATATTGTAGTTTTCTTACATTGATTATGTATGCTTTCATAATGTAATTTTTTTCTCAGGTTATCTGTGGAAACAAATATTCTCAGTATTACATTAAGAATTTGTACTTTTCAGAATTTGCTGGTTACAGTTTCATTGTTTATATTTGGTAGTCAATCTTTGCAATTCAGCAGAATGACTAGAGAGACTAAAAGTGTATTTGTCCATGTATGAGTAATTGTGTCCATACACTGGTGATTTTAGAAATACTGTGTATGAACAAAATACTAACCAGAGACAAATGGCCCACTAATGTATATGACAATCAAACTGACCACTTCAAATAATACTACATATCACTTCATCGGTCACAGTCACTCTCACGAAGACTGGTGCTGTTCATTTTGTTTTAAGAGATCAAACAAAGTTCTACAATTCTTACAGTATGTGCCGTTTTACCCTTTATTATGTGCAATGTTAATTTTGAAAAAATGATTTATTCTGTTGAAATTGTTTCTAGACAAGTATGTACTCATGTAAAAAAGAAGAGATATAGTTGTATACTATAAACTAATGTACTATGTGAATTAAATGGAAATATTTTTGTATGAAAATATCTTTAACATTCCTTCAACCATGAATATCAGCAGTGTCTTTACTGTGGTACAGCTTGTATCTGCTAAAGACTTTGTTAGAATGACTTAATCCACACTAAAAGACAGGTCAACTGGTCTCAGAGTGATGCTGGCATCAGGAAAGGGGGCCATATTAGATTCAGTAAAACTTGTTGGCCTCTTGCTGGGGTCAGCCCAACGTAATTTTTAAAAAAAAGTGATATGAGCAACACATTGTTTCAACGTAGTTACTGTGTTAGTGCGTTATTACTCTAAAGACACAACAGTGACTATTCAAGACCCACATGCAGATTTGTTTAGAAACAGTCCTGTTAAAATACCCAATCCTTTTCAAATCCTGTTTGTTGATTGTCAGCAAAATGTGTCCCTAGGTTGGCCTCCACTCAACCTTATCATTCAGAACAAAACTCAGTTGTTGGTTCAATGTGCTCAATGCCCAATCATATGGTAAACTGCCTTTTGAAGCTGGTTGAAGGAACATGTAGTGTGTTTAATGATCAAGCTCATATAATAAAAGCAAACCATGGACTCACAATTGTCCAGTGTGCTCTCTAGCTAACTGTAGTTTATCCTCCATCTTATGTAAAGAATGTGCTTTAGTTGCCACCATTTGCATCCACAGGCATTTATTCAATTTCCTTGAACCCAGTCCCACAGATGATTTTCTAAGTTTTGAGGTCATACTGATAGCCATTGTGTGTTTGCTATGTATTGCTTCAGTTTATACAAAGTGTTCATGTTTATTGGTATGTGTTTGTTAATTGTGATTGCTACACTAGATCAAATGGTACTGTTTCTCTCTTTTTGATTCTATTGAATCTGTCTCCCCAGCAGTAGAAGACACACTTTTTGTTTCACCGTTTGACTATATTTTTATGTTAATGGCTTCTTCATCAAGTGTCAATCTTTTTGTGACTTTGATTTTTGCATTTGTGACCTTTAGAGGTGACTGCGCATCCTTGCAGTATATGGGGTGGAGAGTCCATGAATGCACACTGTATAACATTTGCCAGGAAGAAGTAAAACAAAAACAAAACAGAACTTGGTACTGTACATAACAGCCATTTCATTGCAGAAAACTAATTGAAAATATTGTATTATAGAATGTACACTTTTTATTTAGATTATATAGTTGTTTAATTTATAAGATGTCAAATAGATTGATGTGTGTGTGTGTTTGTATGTATGTATGTATGTATGAATGTATGTATGTATGTATGTATGTATGTATGTATGTATGTATGTCACATGATTTTAAAGTAAAACAAACAGAAGTATTTTGTAACACATTATTGAAGTGTCTTATTGGGGGAGCTGAGGTTTTTATTTTCTTCAGTTCAGCAAGTTGGTGTTGCACAGTTGAATATTGTATGGCTTGTTTTTTTCTCTGTGTATACCATCAAAAATAAGATTAACATATTAATATTGTTTTAAAATAAATTAATAAAAAAGTTGACATTCTGAAACGGCTTGGATATAAATTTTGTGATATTGAATTATTTATTAATCAATTTGGATAACATGCTATCTTTGAAAATAAAGAAATATATTTTTAGACATACATTTGGTGCACTCTATTCTGCGTGTTTTCATTAACCCATTCATGTCAATATCAAAATGCACCACTGAACAAATTCTGTTTGGTGTAAATGCATGACATTTGGTGTCAGCATAGTACAAGTGTCTACACAGGCCAAATTGACATTTTAAGAATGACACTGGAAGTATGAAATAGTGGGGGTATGCCGTACCAGTAAAACGTGAGCATATCACAATTAACCACAAAATGGCAATAAAACTATGGACTATTACACCATTATTTAACATTCCCGCATGTCAGCCACATAAAAATTAGCGAATTGACTTAAAACCCGGTGGTATACGCTCCAACTTATGTTGTGGTTAGAGGAGAACAATTACCTTTTGCCAAGGCGGAGATGCGTGGCCGAGACCCGAGATGCGCATAGACAAGATGGAGATGAGTGGCCGAGAACCGAGGCGCGTGTGGACAAAAGTGGACTCATCAATTCAGTTGTAGGCCTAATGACAATCGCAGAATGTCATTCATCAAATTGCGGGTGCACAGTGCACTGTTGGGGATTGGATGCTGGAATTATTTTGTGAGTGGACGAATGTGCGCAGGTTAGTGATGCGCGGGTTGATTCATAACCTGCAGACCCTGCGGTTATATCCACGGGGCAGACGGGTTTAGGGTCATTAAATATTGTGTGGCTGAAGGGCGGGTGGGTGGCGGGTTGAATAAAAAGAAACAATATCTTTAAAAATCCATAAATGTATAATTCTTGTGCAATTTATACAGGCTACCTGGTATTAGTGCATAAACCTAAACTGTAGGGCTTAACTGTATGCGCCAATCGCCAAATAATGCTTTTGGGAATGGGCAGAAAAAGTTAATGTAAATCCACAAAGGCAAAAGGGACATTGTCGAAGTTTAATTCAATAAAACAAAAGCTGCTAAAGGAGAGATGAAAATAAAGAGAAGGGAGGGCCAGAAAAGTAATGTTTGGAAAATATTTGGTGAAGTGGTAAAAGAGGATGATAGCAGTGCCAGCTATGTTATGTGTGATGATAGTGAGGCACTATACAAATTCGACAGTCACGGGCCTTCAACTAGGCCTATGGCATGTAAATGGAACTGTAGCCTACTGTTTAGATGGGTTAAATGGAAACTGAAATCTGGACACTGACTGTAGGTCTATAACCTCTTACATAGCCTTAATAATAACTTCTGCAGAATTAAGCATTTCTTGAAGTAAAATGATACACCAAAATGTAGGCAACATTTTTACTTGGGAACAGGAGTGGAGAAGTATGATTTATTTATATCTGCATCTTGAGAGAATGCAATGCTCAGTCAGATACCATCTGTAAAGGTGCTGTCTTCATCCTAAAAGCATCATAAAAGCTGATAGATAGTACACTGCTCAAAAAAATAAAGGGAACACTTAAACAACACATCCTAGATCTGAATGAATGAAATAATCTTATTAAATACTTTTTTCTTTACATAGTTGAATGTGCTGACAACAAAATCACACAAAAATTATCAATGGAAATCAAATGTATCAACCCATGGAGGTCTGGATTTGGAGTCACCCTCAAAATTAAAGTGGAAAACCACACT